GAGTAATGTTTGTTTTTTTTTAAAGTTAATACCGAATGATATTTCAAATTATCAGCAGATTTTTGTTAATAAATCATAAAAGAAACCAAATTATTTTCTTCCAATAGAAATATGGCCCATGTCAGTCTAACAAATATTATTTTTAATTAAGTCATTTTATCCATTTTAGCAACCTTCTTTGTTACTAACAACCAAAAATACTACCAAATAGATTATTGGTTGTATAGCTTCAGAAATGCAATAGACATCACTATCCGAATGACCCAATCATATTCTACTTCCTTCCGCACAAACAAACCCAAATAACTTCTTACTAGACGACTCCCCTGAGATAACGAGACCTAAACCTCGACCAAAATGACCAAACAACCGAAGCAGAGGGAGATCAGATAGTGTCTTTCGTGCCGCATTAGGTGGGCTTTATTACAGGTCGGCCCTTTGTGACTTTTCACAACTTAAGGTATTCTCGAAGGGAGATAGTGTCGCTGTAAATGCCCCACGCGATAGAAAAATTACACCAATCAGTCGCCCGATGAACTTCCTTGAAGGCTCATATCGAGTCCGTGGCCTCTGTTGGATAACACACCCAATTTACGGATATTTCGAAATCATCTTGCGGCATTCGAATTTAATGGACGGAAGGATAAATAAATTAATGTGATTCAAGTTCTTTAATTAATCAATAGAAATCGCATGATCCCTGCCTTTTTTATTTAATGCACTGATTCAGGATTTAATTTAGGGGAGGGGCTCCACTAAACCATACAATTCCCCTCGTATCCAACCTTTACAATCCAAAATCCTTAGAAAAAGCCTCAATACTCCTTAATTTGTCACAAATAAAATCATCCATGGCGATCTTAATGCTCGATTTGTTGTCGATTTAGCCCAATCTAGATACCTTTACGTCCATAATAAGCTTTAGGACCAATCAAACACAATAGTTTCTAAGCATTCTCTTCAGTTCCTGGCAATCTTCCTAGACGTTCTAACAGAAGATGGCCTCGGAATATTCTAATATAGAACTGTTATTGAAGTGCTACTAAAGGGTAGTTTCTCTACAAGTCCGTCCATGTCATTATACCAATTCATATTTACTTGTATATTTGGGCAATTCAGTAGTCAATTTCAATAAATGAATTTAAAAGAAAAAAATAGGTTGTCCTCTTATTTTTTTTTATAACAGTAATTACAGAAACAATAGTGCTTTTAGGTATAAAATATTAATATTTTTTTCTACAAGTGCTTACATGTAGTTGATGAATTAGTTATATACTGAAGAACATGTGGTTGTTTAATTATTTTAATAAGATCACACTTAGAAAAATATAAGAACCTGTTAAAAAAAAAATATTTGTCGATATTTTTTGATTGGGGAGTGGCTTCGTCTCCAAAACTCTCCCTTGAGCCCGCTAGTGCATTAACTTAAGTTCTTCTTTTTACTTTTAACTGAAATAAAAAAGGAAGAACTTCTGAGAAACATATTTTATGTGAAAAACAAATCAACCTTATAGCAACTGGCTTCAGCGCGATCCAAACTTACGGAAATTTAAACAGGTTTATCAAATGATGCTATCCAGGTAAAACTGGAAATGGGTTTTAAAGTTACGATTCGTTTCAAAATATGTCTAAAATCCAATACCAATAGTAATGATAAAAAAAATTGCTTAGCAGATCTCAAATTACGAGTTACTTGGTCTAACGGACTCAATCTCTTCTGAGACGGCTTAAAGACTTTTTACGAATGGAATCTAGAATTACTGGTCTCACTTGTCAAGTGGGGAACGAGAAAGAGGGCGACCTAGGCCTATTTGGGAAGATGAAATAAAGAAAACTTTCAAAAAAGATTAATTAAATCGAATAAGAGAAAAAATGTGAGACAGTGAGAGCTGAAGAAGTCTTTAAAAAAATATAGGATAAAGTAAGGTGTAAAACAAGCAATCGATCAGTTTTTAAAATTCTATGCCTGGATCAGCTGAGGATTCCTTAACTCCAAAAAAGTTATTTCTAAAAGATACAGGCCACTGTCGTTTCCAGTTGCTAAAAATATTCCGTTCTTTTAAAGTACAAATTAAGTTGTCAAGGAAACATTACAGTCGTATGAAACGAAAATATTTTTTATTAATAAGCCAATTTCTTTTATGTTACAAGCCATTTTTTAACTAAAATTGTGCATTTTAACAATTAGAAAAGGTAACTTGACTTTTATCAATATTTTATTTATACTTACCATTAACATTAATATCAACCAACATGGAATAATATTAATGTTAACCGACATAATATTTTAATCGGATTAGTTTACAGTAATTATTTCAGAATAAGGCGCTACCTCTTGGCTACAGAGTTAAATAAAACATCAGTTAGTGCAGGAACCAACCGAAAGAGACCGCCACTTAACAGTTGCTTTTGAAATTAATGGATTAAGATCTCTCTCTCTCTACATTTAAATATTTTCTAGGTAGAAATAAAATATAAAGTGGTTCTTTTTTTTTTGGTAATAAAGGCTTTATGTTTATTTTATCACATACTAGCTTTACCTGGCCACGCGCTGCTGTGGCTTAGCCTGGCAAAATGGAAAAGAAAGTAAATAGAAAGCACATATGAGTGGATTAATACCAAAGGACATCTGTTGTAAAGCAGACCCTCCCCATCCCTATCCATATCCCTATTCCTCCCCTCCCCCTACTTATTTTATCGTTATGCTTAATTTTTATTTTATTTATATATTTTCACTTAACGAGCGGAGGACCCTCAACTCCATACATCTTATCAAGACCTTAAGTGGACAAGAAGAGATAACTAACAAAAATCATTCAACGCACCTTCAAATACCACAGGTAGAAAAAGGTCAAGGTAATTCAAAGTATCATTCCGCTAGTGCACTGGTCCGATATGACACTGATATCATGGTTTGTTTTGTTTCAGAGGGATCGGGGAAAAAAAAAAAAAAAAAAAATGTAAAGCAGGGCGGTCCCTCCACGCCAGGTGATGAAATTAAGGCCTAAGGCCACAGTCATTTACCTTCAAATACCCTTGGGTAAGCAAAGGTCAAGGAATAATGTATATATACATTCATAGATGTATGTTGTAAGTAGTGTTAAATAAAGTTTCTGGGATGTCAGAAAAAAAAAAAAAAAAAAAAAGGACATCTGTCATTTTTAAAAAGTTGGGAAACAAATTTGCCTTAAAATGGCTTCAATTTAAACTAATTCTAATGATTTTTTTTCATGATTCAACTTGAACATTCGTAATCATCTGAGTGAATACACCGTCATTCTTAATCATCAGAAACAGTCTTGAGTAGAACATATAAAACTAAAATTGACTTTATCTCCACTTTCTGAAAATGAAAGAAATCCGTCCTTTGATATTGAGCCACTTATATATTTTCATATTTAATTTTATTATCTTTTATATTTAATGTATTGTTTAATGTTCAACTCTATGTTGATCATTTTATGGCAAATAATAATGTAAATGTTTAGTTGTTTAAACCCTTAAATCCCAGAAAGTTCTTCACCCATTGCTTTGAAATTTTGGCTTAACACATTTAAATACGCGCATGGTTTAATATATATACTATTATAAAATATAAGGTGAAACTATACATGTTTATTAAAAACACACTACCAGTTGGGTGTAAAAGCAACACATGCGGTTCAAAATATTTTATGATACTGTTTCAATGTTAAAGATTTTCAGATATCAATCGTGGCAATGCATTGAAATTGTGCTATACCATTTATCATAGCGTTCATTTCATGTGCATTAGAGCTGCCTTCCACCTTCCTCAAAAGATTTCGCATAATCCTCCTAAGATATTTGATTGATTGCTTCTTCTTAAAAACAACTTCATTAAATACAGAATTGTAAAAATTGTAGTGGAAAAATAAACCATGCTAATGAAAGAAATCCTACGGGAAAGGGTACAACCTTATTTCAACATAATCTCAAATAAAAGAATTTATTAAAAATAAAATAAACATAAATCAATAAAAAACTGAATTCAAAAAGGAACAAAAACGTTGATAAGTATTACTAAAGAGTTAAATCAGTTTAAATAATAGCAAATCAAATATTTGAAATGTATCATACTACTTCCAGAATACATTGGGAGGAAAATAAAAAAATGAATATAAAGAGCCTAAAATAGTATTTACCTACATAAGGAGAATCATATCACTTCTTCAAATGATAATTTCAATTACTGCAGTAATTGTAAAATTTTCGATTAATTAATAACAAAAAAAAAGAAAGGAAATGCCCTTTTCTGAAGTAAATGTTTAAGACTCTATAACTTTGCAACAAATTGTCCAATATGACAATTTTTTTATTTTGTATGTAATTCAGGAATCTTTCAAATGAATATGAGTATTATCAATCAAAAATTGTGTATTTTTTAAGTTATCGCCAAATAAAATATTGAATTCATCGTAACATTTTTTCAGCTTGTTTTCGGGAAAGTATGTTACACACATAAATTAAAAGGGTTTCAAGGGGAAAACTTTAGCCAAGTTTCGTTAAAATTGTTAAAGCCATTTTGGCACTACAGTTTATCGCGACACATTATTATGAGGCTTTGAACAAAAAACGTTTAATTTTTTTTTTACATATATAAGATTATCATAAGACAGAAGTACTATGCCAGAAACCTTCCCAGGAGTGTACTGAACAACTTCCTAAAGTTTCATGGCGATCGGATTAATGGTTTAGTAATGCATAAAGAACAAACAGACAGACATGCATTCATTTTTATATATATAGGAGATAAGCATCCAATTCTGAAAATAAAAACGTTTATATATCTGTTTTTTCAGTTACTAGTGTGCTTAATACTCAGCTGATCTACAGGTACTCTTTTTAATATGAAAATTGAGGTATAAATTATATTATCTATAATCTTTAAAGTTATAACATATAGAAATTGTACCATATTTAAATTTATTAAAAAGTTATGAATTCGAAATTGATGAGAGAGAATTGATGATTAGGACAAATAGATATGACAAAAATGAAGTTCTTTCATTATAATTAATTTTTTTAAAAAGTTGAAACTTACCAATAACATACTTAAAATATTCAAAGAATTCTTTTAGCATTTAAGTAAAAAATTTTAAACCCTAAAATTTCTAGGTTTTTGGTTATTTATGTATTTTAAGCTTAATAACCAAGCAAAATACTACACTTCACAATTTAATTTTAGACTCTGTTATACATGAGTAAGAAAACTGAAAACATTATAACACATGTACAATTATCTGGAATTAGAACAACTATTTTTTCTTATTAACTTGTTAAATCCTCTTCATTCCATAAATGAGAATAATCTTTATCCAGCACAATTTCCATTCATATATGTATTCACATAAAATTAAATTAAGAGTATACATTTGTTCAATATAATTTTATTATTCCATTATACTTCACAAAAATTTATAAGCATATTAATGATATGTAAGCTCACAGCAGACATTGGGCAGTTTTAATATAAGACAATAATGTTTCCTTAACATTTGAATGGATTTTAAATTATTTTTTAGACGATCTTGAGGTAATAGTACTAAATAAGTTTTTTAATACAATATAATTGGCCAGTTCAAAAGATATTATATTGAAACATTGAATTCCAAGCCAACTAGTAATTTAAATTATTTATAACTGATATTATACTACTACCCACACCATGGCTTGGCCCTGATTATGTATTCTTGCACACAATAAGTGCTGACTTAAGACATTAGTCGTCCTCGGTCAATGATGCGATCTTCTCCCCCAAAAAATTCCTTCTCAATTTATTTCTTAAATTATTTATAATAAACAATATTTTAATTTTAAATCATTCAATGTCTCTAATTCAGTTGCTTTATTAATAGGCTAAAATTAATTATTCTAATGTGCTTTTATCTTTTTTTATATTGCTAACAAGTGTTGGGTACTTAATAACATTCATTACTCACCAATAATCTTCTTTTAATCAAAGGAATTAAAGGATTCAGTTAAACTTAAAGTATAGTAAATGATTTTATTGGTGCTTCATTTGCATAGGCATATAATTTATGTATATTTGGAAACACAAGATTGTTGCAACTATAAATTAACTAGTTGGATAATGGCATCTCGAACTTCATGAATCAGGTACTGTAGTTAACAGAAATTTATTTTCTACAAATTTGGAAAAAAATATTTTATTTTAGTTAATTTACATTTAATTTTAATTTAAACTACCTTATATCTCGCATCTAGAGACTTTACTACTGGTTAACTCTTTGACTGCGGACGGGATACATGCCTTCCCGTTAGGAGTTGGGACACTGGCGCGGCCGGGATATACTTCCCACCTTGGCTGTCGCCACTTAAAGAGGTAGCGGGAAGTCCTGTCTTCATCATTTGACTTGTGACTTGGTCCGTGCATTCATTAGTCCTGTGTAGTTGAATCAGTGCATTCTGTTAGTTTGAAAGCTATCAGTTGCAGATTTATTCTAAACCCGAGGTATATCCTTCCTCTGTTATTTGTGCCATATACATGATCTTATTTATATAATATTTAAATGTTTTATACATCAAGTAAATATTAATAAGTTAATTAGCATTAAATTAAAACTGCGCTGTTTCAATATGGAACTTTTTTAGGTAAGAAAAAAATTGTATATACAAAGGAATATTTAATTCGAATCCTGCCGTCGGTGTCCTTTATTAGAAATAATATAATTTCATTTTTATGAAAATTTTCAGTTATTTTGCTTTTCAAAAATGAGTAAATATGTAATCTAGTTTTTCAATGCCATGTGCGGCCAGGAAGACATATGTCCCATTTATTAAAAGTTAAATAAAAAAGTTAAAATGCATTTTTGGAATTGAAGATCTTGGAGGATGGCTCAAAATAGTATTTTAAACAAATTTATGCAAACAAAAAAAAATCCATTTTTCTGGATTTTGGGTAGAAACACTCAAATGAGCTGCCACAGTCAAAGGGTTAAACTTTTAAATTTAGTAAAATTAAATATTGGAATAGTCCAAACATGTTGAATGTTTTAACTTCCAAGGGAATTATAATACATTTTATGTAAATACACCTTCACCTTAATATTTTCTAAGGAGATATAACATGGATTTTCACAAAAAAGTTAACAAAGTAACATTCAAGAAGGCACTGGGATGAGATGGAATGCTTCAGGAAAACATAAAAAAGAAAAGATTAAATATGAAATATAGCAATCAGAACCAATTTAAACATACCAAATAGTCATGGGCGATAGATAGTCAATTTTTAAGTTCTTTATATCTAACGTTTCAATAAAGGACTTAAAAATTGACAGCATTACTATTCATCATTTGCATGGATGAAGTATGGAAGTTTTATAAGCGAAGGACACCCAGAGCAACAGTGGGATACTGGACTTTTGTATGGTGCAAAGAGCTGGACGGTCCTGGACAAACATGCAAGTAAAGTAAAGTAACAGCTATAGAAATAAGATACCTCAGGAGAGTTCTTGGAAAAACATGAAGAGACCACTGGAAGAATGAGAGGAACTGAACAGAAGGCCTGTAAAACAAGTCAATAACCAAATGAAGTGGGTTTGGCCATGTGTACCAGATGGGTGATAACTGAAAGGCAAAATGGTTCCTAGAAGCAAAACCAAAGGGAAGAGGACCTAGAGAGAGGCCCCACCAAGGCTGTTGTATTGTGACTACATGGAGAGACTCGGGCAAGCCAGAAGTAGCACCATGGTGGATATGAGAAGGATGGTCAGAGACAGGGATCAGTGGACAAGATGGGTCGAGGGCTGTTCCTCCACGCTGATGGCACAAAGGAGGTGGCAAAAGAAGAAGAATAAGTGATAATTTCCTGAATATCATATACTAAACATATTTAAATGCAACAATAAATTTATAATAATTTTTTTTAAATTTATCTTAGTGAAATGAACTTAGCCACTTCAATAGAAAAATTTGAATAATTATTTTCATTAACAAGGATGTATATTTTGAAACATGTTTTCAACACTAAAACAATAACACATTTTATTACAGCACGTAACAAATACCACATCGCCACATGGGAATAAAAATAGTCAGATCTTATACAATTTCCATTTATGTAACATAAATAAATTCATGATAAATGAATATGGAATGACAGTTAAATAAATGCGAATAGCTAATATTTAAAAATCACTCATTTATACAATTTTGGACAATACAATTTTATAACTTATACTGATGAACACGATCAACCAAACAATTCTTATGCTTGGCACAAATTCTATATAATATTAAAAAATATTTTAAAAAGTGTATTTAAGTAAATAAAATAATAAAAACACTCGTATGATAGGCTATAAACACTTTTGAGGGAATGAGTCTATTATATATACACTAAGGTTGTTCAGTTATACTGCTCTGGAAGGACGTACGATATGTCATCCCAAGGATGTCGGTAAAGTCCTTGCTTCAACCTCTTCTGGTCCATGAAGTGACCTGTAAGGAAATAAATTAGTTATTATTAATAATATACTGATACATATAAATATTATTTTAAGGCTCTAATAATATCAAATTATAATGCAAAATATTTTATCATCAAAATTTAATTTAAATTACCATGGTATTGTTAAACAATTCAAAAAAATAAAAATTACTAATAAATTATTTAGTGACTGAATAATATAGGAAATAAAGAGCTTATAATTAATCCTCTGAATGACACACTAGTAATGGTGAAATTAAACTAAACTTAACAGTGAAACTTTTAATAGAGGAGCAAGAGTGAGAAAAATCATAGATACTTGACTGGCTTCGACATTAGTCAGCTCAGTCTGAAGTGGCTACTATTTTTGAGAAAAACAATTATCCTGATAGTACTTTTGAGAATCCAGAAGGATGTAAGAAGAAAGTATAGTACCAGAGAAGCAGATACTGTATGTTTCATAACAGATTATTAATTTGGATGAGAACCAATGTTCTGAAAGTGATGAAGACGTAACTCCCACTTTTTATCTTGAAAAGAAAATTTTCTACACAATGTTTAACAGCTAGAAGTAGCGCCGAAACCTTAAAGCACTTGATAGTGACAAACTCTCAAACGCACAATATGAACATACGATTTCAACACAAACATACAAAAATAACATCTTTTTAGGCATGGAGGTCAAATTGTTTATGATACCAAAATAGGTTAGATGGTTAAGAATGAAAATGAAAATGAAGAAAATAAATTGTAATAGAAAAGTAAAGTTCCATTTTTTTTTTGTTTTTTTTTAACAGCAAGTCTGATTAATTGAAAAATAGCTTTTTATAAATAAATAATAAAGGTTTATTAACTATATGAATATATATTGTAATAATTCATTCTTAGAATAAATCTTATATTGTGTAGCTTACCAATAAAACCTATGCTCCTTCCAAGAACGAAAAGACTGTTTATTGCACCCATTTCAATATATTCTTGAGCTTCTTCCCTGTAATCGAACAAATAATATTTAGTTATTGACAATTACAAGGTTCAAAATACAACTAAAAAAATGACATCTAATAAGCAGGCTGAATAAAAGTTTCTCTTCCATCAATAATTTTGATAATGCTTATATTATTTAGTAGCAAAAACTTACACATTTATAATTTTTATTTTTCAGTCCAATAACTAACTATCCTCAAATATTTTAAAAACTTTAAAAAGCAATATTTAAAAAAGTTTTTCTTGAATAAAAAAATTCTGTAAACACAAGGTTAAGCAGAATTGGTGTAATTCAAGATAACAAAAGAATATCATTCTAGACTTTGTAAATAACTAAAATCTTCATTTATAATACTCTACTTGAAATATTAAAAATTGGCTGAATTTAAATAAATCTCCGAATAAACACAGAATAATAGTTTATAGTACTACATTATTCAAAATTGGAGATTGGTTTCAAGTGCAAAACCATAAACATATACTGAAGATTGATAGAATCATTACCAATCCACAATAATCATACAGTTGATTTATAATAACCAATAAAATATTTGATAATCAGATAATCACCTAGTAAAACTTCCACTGTGCCTGAGAAGATCTACAAAAGAAACAGCAATGACACCATCCACATTGAGAATCAAATTGGGTTTCTTTGAAGTTGTGATTTTCTCAACTTCCAAGGCGTAATCCAGTAAGGGTGTAGCAGGCCAGTTTTGTTGTACGTATTCTTTGATGATTTTAACCCTCATATCTGGGTTACTGACCTAGAAATGATTTAAAGCAATTTAAATACAATTAATTTCAACAATAAGAGTGATTATTCAGAACTTGACTGTAAAATCTTAATAATACAAATAAATGAAAATTAAAAACTAAATGCAAATTTTACAACAGAATATAAATTATTGTAATGACCCACTTACAGATTTAATCCTATGCCCGATACCCATGATGAGCTGGCCTTTCTTCCTCATCGAGTTGACCATCTCCATGGGGATGAGCCCAGAATCATAAGCTTCTGAAAATTGTTTTGCAGCGCCATCGAGGGCACCACCAAACCTATCTCCCTAAAAAAAGGAAAACAATTTTTTTTTAAATCTAGAAAAAAAAGTTCAAGTAGTAAGTTATTTAAGTTTAGAGCTTTGAATGGATATAATCTTATTCAATATTTTTATCGACATATATTTCTAGGTTTCTATGAAATTTTTCATGAATTTTTTTTTCAATGATGTCTCTATAAAAGTCCTGACACTCAAAGGCAATAAATTCCTGAACAGAATTTTGTAAATAAATGGTAGTTTAGCATTGCACACTTAATGCTTAGCTTTTTGGAAACACCAGGATTTTGAAAAGAATAAGTCTCTAATTGGTTCAGTAGGTACACTAACTAAAATTGTTATGCCTATGAAGATCAGCATTGTAAGTTATGATTTATTGCATGGAAGAAATGGTCCACGTTGTTTGAAGTTGTGATCTTTACTAATTGGGTACTTCCATAGAAAATAATGTAAATTTCAATTGCAATAGAATTCAAGTTATAAAAAACATATATATATATATATATATATATATATATATATATATATATATATATATATATATATATATATATATATAATTGAGATTGCACTTTATAAATAATAAAAAAAAAAGGTCCAGGTTTAGTACATTTGGGAGACATGGTGAGGACTGAAGGTGTTGCCTGAGATCACTGTGGCATAAGGTATACGGCTGCCATAGATGATGCTATCGAACATCTTTTAGCCCTACTTTATAAACATGCATTTGTTAAAACTAATGAAATACATTTTAAACTAAAATTTCTATTTAGAGATGATAGATTAATTGAAAAAAAAAAAAACAGAAAGTTATTCTTGCAATGAAATTTTAAAGTTGGAAACACTATAAGATCAGATACCGTATGATATATCCGAGTCTCCAATCTCACAAATTAAATCCACGTCCATCACTTTTCTTTAATGCTAATTATTTTTGCAAAGGTGCACCAGAAAAGTTTGGAGCTTTTTGAACTTTTATTATTATTATTATAACCTAATCTTCATTGACAAATACAAATCGAAAATTCATAGAAGAAATCAATTCAATAATCAATATAAATTTGTGTTTCATAGATGAAACCTCTAAATTCACACAACACATGAGGCATAAAAAAGAAATATATGCATATATATTAAAATAAAATGATATATTCTCTAAAAAATGCATTCTTATTTAATAATGAGCATTATTATTTAACAATACTTACAATAGTAAGGAGACCTGAGACAAGAGATGAAATAAGATCTTTGCCAGCCCTGGCACAGACGATGGTGTTATGAGCACCAGATACGGCGGGCCCGTGGTCAGCAGTCACCATCAAGCACATTTCGAAGAATTTGCAAATGTAAGGGGGAAGGGCTCTTTGGAACCAAAGTAGAGATATCACTCCACCAATTCCCATTTCTTGCTTAAGAACCTAATAAAAAAAGAAAATGCCTTAGAAAAAGCTTTTAATTGATCCTAATGCGAAAATATTTTTAAACAACACTTTAAAACTATATGAATGCGGGCATTAATTCCAATAAAATAAATATATTTATGTTATCATTGGGCAATTCAATTCGAATTTCTTTTCAGTATTTATTACTTAAAATTATTATTAAATCGCCCTGGTGTATTCTAGTTTGTTATATACATATATACAAATGGTAAATATATTGGTTAAAAAGTCAACTTACATCACTGATGGGCATGCCAGCATACAACAGTTCTTGACCCCTCTCATCGCAAATACTGGTCATGACAGTTGCTGGTTTCCTGATGAGTCCAAGTTCCTATTACACAAAATAAAGTAAAACAAACCACTTCTGTCAAAGAATACCTGAGACAAGTCCTTAATCATAATAGGTAACTTCTAAGACTAATACTAACCCTTGCCCAATTGTAGTCCATGGGGACTGTTGGTGGAGGAACTTCAGGTTGGGGCTCGATTTCTCCGGACTTTACAAGAGCTGTGTAAACTTCATGGATAACATCGCCGAGTTCATCAAATGAACCTGGTACCTTAGCACCAGCCATTTTCAATGCAGCGTTTTTAGCTGAAGCAGTTTCTCGGTCAGAGTTGGCACAAGATCCAGCATGACCAAATTGAACTTCTGAAGAGAACATAGCTGGAAAAAGAAGATAATTATAATGAGCACACAATGGAAAGAAAAATATCAATTTAAAATAAAAATTATAATATTGGATATAATACTAACAAGAACAAGTTCCAATGCACCAAGCGACAAGTGGTTTTGTAAGACGTCCATCCTTGATAGCTTGACAAACCTCGTATTCTTCTACACCACCAACTTCACCCAAAAGGACAATCATTTTGGCCTAAAAATAAATTACCTATTAATAAAAAATACTGAATATGAACAAAATCAAGTTTAAATAATAATAAGTAAGTAGCACCTTATTTGGTACAGACAAAATAAACTTTATTTAATTTTCTCAAGTTAACTAACATCACAGTATTAAATAGTTGGTTAAAATAAAAATTTTGTACAGAGAAAGATTTTATCAAATAAATCATGTAATTTCAATTTACAATTCAGAAAAATTGCAAGCCATTAGAAATTAAAAAAACGTTAGTACTGCTAAATTTCATGCACATCTAATAGCTAATCCTGAATGTAATAAATTTTCATTGTCGACTTTCTTTATATGCAATATTTTTAGCTTTGATTTAAATTATAATACAATTCAATCCACCACGAAATTTCCAAAAAAAAAAAAAATTTGATCATTTAAAATACAGCAATAATTTTCATTGCATTAAACATTGACAGTAAAATATGAACTGACCGAAGGATCTGCCTCGTATCTCATAATATGGTCCATAAAAGTTGTTGCTGGGTACCGATCACCACCAATGGCAACACCTTCATAGACCCCGTCAGTGGCCTTTGAGACGATATTGTTCAATTCATTTGACATACCTCCAGATCTTGATACGTATGCAACACTAAATGAAAAAAATACATATGTATAATCCTTTTTTTTCTTCTCACATTTAAATTAATACTTATAAGTGGATTATATTGTTAAAAATTAAATTTAACGGTAAATAAGGAAAATAATTATTACCTGCCAGGTCGGTAGAGTTTGGAATGAAGAATGTTGTCCATCATGCCTCCAGTATTACCAATCTTCAAGCAACCAGGCTTGATACCACCAACAGTAGCCGGTCCAATGATTGAGACTCCTTTTTCTTGTGCCATCTGAATCAGCTTCCTTGTCATGTTCTCTGGAATACCCTCAGCGATGATAGCAATCACTCGAATCTAGAAATTGAAAACAAAAAATATGTATAAGAAAAAATAGTAAATGACTCAACTTTTATGACTATAAACTTTAGAAAAACTTGAAACAATTTGTTATGACTTATGTTTTTCAACTTTTCTTTTTTAAAATATCTATTGGATTAATTATAATATTACAATGTTATTTTTCTTTCTTTTTGTAGTAACTGCAGCCAAGGTTTAATAAAAGACTCTCTTATTACTCACTGCTTCCTTTGTAAAATAACAGAAAACTCTCAAAAAGAGAAATAATTTTTCTATTATAACGATAATTAACTTTTTAATAAAACAAGATTTCTAACTCTCACCTCTTGATTCAGTTAAAAGAAATTATCTCTTAATTTAGAAAATACAAGAATGCATATGTTTATTTCTTTTTAAGACTTCAACAACAGGTAGTGATATAATAATTTGAAGCAACAGCTCAAGAATTATTTCTAATAAGTAATGCATCTTACATTATACCATTTAAGTAATGAAAACTTTCATACAGCAAAATTTTAAAAATAAATTCATACAAAATATACGAATCATAATTCAAGTAAAAAAAAATATATATGAACACACCTGGGAGAACTTCAATGTCTCAATAGTGCTGTCATAAGCTGACCGTAGTGATGCAAAGTTAATAAGAACATCAGCACCGGGATGCTTATTTATAGCATCTTCCATCTTAGGATATACTAAAAATTGAATAAATTAAGATTAATTATTAATACCACTATAATTCTTTTGACTAATCGTAAACATAGAAAAATTTAATATACAGCTAAGCTGGAACCCCAAAACTTAAAATTCACAAATCGAAACTGTTTCCGGACTGCTATTAATATTTTGGTAGCTAATCCGAGATTGATGGAAACTATATAGTATTTTACATGGGTACAGCCTTTTCTCCAGACGACAATTTACCAAACAAAAGTCTGCACAAAGATAAAAAGCATCACTCTTTGGATATCTTTTGTAGATTTGTGCAGACTCCTTTAAGGGTTTTTAGCATTTTTTGAGCAGTGAAAGTCAAAAGTTGTGATCAATCTTAAATTATAAACATGATGAAAACAGTATTTGCAATTTATTATAGCTTAGAACTTCTACAATCGTTAAAATGAGAATTTCTGAAAGCAGCACTCAAAAAATCAAGTATTCTCCAAAATCACCCTGAATAGTGGTAGTTGGACACATAAAAATTTACATTATTTTTTAAAGTAAAAACAACCTCTAAATTAGGTACAAGCGATAACAGCACAAGGGAATTATGTTAGTGTAGGAGAGAGGTGGGGTGCAAAAAATGATAAGTAGTTTTTAAAGGAGGCATGTGATATTATCAAAACATAAAGTAAAATCAAGGAAGGAGATGGTCCGGGGTGGCGGTCATAAATAGGCTGAATAGTGGCAAAACTATTTTATTAAAAGCCAACGTTTCGACCCATCTTTGCATGTCTTCTTCAGGGAGGTGTGTTTAATTGCTTCAGTTTTAAGTGAAACTCCTAGCTGAACACAGCTCCCTGAAGAAGACCTGCAAAGTCGGGTCGAAACGTTGGCTTTTAAAAAAATATTTTTGCCACTATTTAGCCTATTTATGACCGGCAACCCGGAACATCTCCTTCCTTTATAATGCAACAGTCAACTATTATATATTCAACATAAAATAAAATCAGTAATATAAACAATAGCAGTCAGTAACCCATGCCAATTGCAGAATAGTGGTTTGAGGTATATCACAAGTCCTAGATCAAGGATTTTTTTAGTAAAGGAAAATTTAATAAATATAATCCATTAAGGTAATAGCATTCATTAATAACCACAATTGAGTCAAAATATTTACCTGGGATAAGAATTTCCTTGTGGCCCCAGTAGAACTTCAACTTATGAAATCCAGTAAAGGGATAAACCATGCAGGCTACAGAAGGTTCATCTCGCCGGCAAACAAAGTCGAAATCCAACATGCTCTGAAAAATTACAACAACTTTGTTTTAAAAAATCTCAACTTCTTACAATAAGAGACTCTAAATGCAGTGATGAGAAAATCACCTAAATAAAATTTCAATTCAAAAATGATAAGAGAAATGCTAAATCTAATTTTAAAAGAACAAAATGAAAGCTTTGGTAGTTAAAAATAAACAAATACAAAATTAAGGCACGTACCTGGACAGCTCTGGTTTGCATACCCCAGATGATAGCTTTGCTTTCAGAAGTGAATAATGGTTTGTAACTTTCTGGTTCTTGAATACTCGAAGTTCTTCTGCACAATCCATCAGTTATAGGTTCATGCTTATGTGGTGAAGGTGATCTCTGGAAATACAATAAAAATATATATTAACAAATAATAATTATATTTTTAGATTTCACAATCAATAAAAAAAGTGATAATTAATTTTCTTCAAATATTGCAAAAAAAATCTAAAAAGTTTACCTGGTCTTGGCCACCAGGAAGCAAAAAATTAGCTGTGGCGAACTCTTGTTCAGCTTCTTTAGGGATTGGTTTTTTCCCAAGTGCCATACCAACGATGGCAGTCATGTGGGTTTCAGGTCCAAAAACGAAAATTGGAATCTTCAAAGTCTTGCCAACATCACGAACTATTCTGTAAATAGAAGAGAATAAATTAATAAAAAAATTTATTAAGAAAAACAAAGTAAAGAAATAATTCTTTTTCCTTCCTAACAAATACAAAATAAATTTTACAGTTTGTAAACTTAAAAGATGTATTTCAAGTCAATTACATAATAGATCTATTAATGATGGTTTATTTTTTAAGTTAGATACAAAGTAATTCTAATAATTAACAAAGTACATTAAAATAAAATGAACTAATTTCATAACAGTATGTTAAAGTACTCCACAAGTCTTGATTTTGATGTGCATATCAATATCAACCAAAAGCTATATCTTTTAAAAACTTTATTATCTATCTTTTAGGCACTTCCTTTATATTTATCTTTCATAGCCATAAAGGCCAACTACTAAGTCGACCGAAACATCAGCACAAATAACAGTAAACAATATTTTATTTTTATTATCATCCACCCAAACCTATCACCTTTTAATAACGTAAATGTTATTAAAATCCTTCATTTTAATATAAACTCTTTTTGGTATGATAAAATCTTTTAATCACTAATATAGCTTCAGGTTGACTTTGATATGAAAAACGATTTTACTGTACTTAAAAGTAATACAACAAAGCTTTACATTACCTAAGCCCTTCTTGATAGTTAGGGCCAGCCCTTCTGACATAAATAGAAATTTGGTGTTCCAGAAGTTTCGACTGGAATTCTGTCAATGCAGTGACGACACCTTTGAAAGTGGCAGCAACATTAGTGAAGTTGGCTATACCTCCGCCAATTATCAGAACCTGTATAAGAATTGTATTAAAGTAAACAACATTCCATAACCTCAATATTTCAACATTTAATAAAATTAATCACCCTCTCCCACTTGTTGCCCACAGCACTGGAGCAAACAAAATAAACACCACTGACAATAAACTTATTATAAAATAAACTTATTAGATGACAAACCCAATACTGAGGTAAATTATATACTGAACTTTCCACAAAACTTTCAAATATAAATTACAATGAAAACACTATAAATTAATGAAGAGAGGAATAGTTGAGGTGGTCAGTCAAAAAAGAAGGCAAAAATAAATTATAATATTTATTTTTACATATGCCGACGTTTCGACCTGAAGTTCAGGCCATCATCAGGGCTAAGAAAAGAACCAGATAACAAGGTATGAGAAATATAAAAATTACAGTAAAACGAAGTTGTTAGAATAATGACAATAGTAAGAACAAGAGACAAATAATAATAACAGGTACAAAGTGTGGAATGATGAAGTAAACATAGTCAAAAAAGGTGACATAAGTATTGTAAAGGGAATCTTAGAATAAAATGTAAAACAGAAAAATATGAAGTTATATAAGAAATGAAAATAAATAGTAAAATTAAGGTATAGTGAATAAAATAATTAGATAGAAAATTGAGATGTTGTAAAGTCTATCAATATGTACAGACAAAATATGAAATAATAAAGATTTAAAACAGAGAAAAGAAATGAAAGGAAGGAGGAGAGAAACTGAGAAGGTTGAAATAAGAAAGAGAATAAGTAAGAGAACTATAAATTAAGATCGTTTATAATAAAATAAACTAATTTCAATAAATTGTTCCATAAGCAACTAGACCTCTGGGTAACAAGTGGAAGAGAGTGATTAATAAAGTAAGGCCAAAATTATAAAATAATAACTTTTATAAAATAATAACTCAATGAAAAAAAAATCTTAAATATTCATTTTTAAAATTAAATATGAATACTTAAGAATTTTTTTTCTTCAAAAGTTATTAGAATGACTTTATTATTACAGAAAAAGTAACAAGGCAATTTTCATGAGTTATTCCCGCTCCTCTAATCCAAAAAAGGATTAATTATTTAATGAACTCTAAAAATATAAATATTTATATTTTTATAGTTCATTATATTTGTATCTAACTAATATAGTTAGTTATATTTATACTTTGATAAATTTAATTGTATTGACCAGATGAAGATGAAAATATTATAATTTTTTTTTCGATAACTAACCTTTCCTTTTGGATGTTTCTCCTGAGTCATGAGAGAGAGGATAGTTTTAGCATACTCGTAGGTCTGCTGTTCGGAAGGTGCTCCGGAGTACTCACCATAATTAGCAAGTTCCTGGGCCCCACCTAGGTCGCATATAGTATCGCTGTAAATTACGGAAGCACCTCCACCGGCCACCATCGTCCAGATCCTACCAGACTTATTCAGAATGGTCAACTGAAGATAAAAAATAAAATTACCCAAACGTTTCACACTGTAAATTAGAAATTAAGTTAAGTATTATTTTAAAAATATTTATTTAATTTCCCCCCATCCAAAACAAAATTGACTGGTTTTAGTTTGTAAAAACCAATTACCTTAAGAGAGGCACCACTCTTGGCATCCAAATCAGCAATGTATGCTTCTTCTGGGAAGGCATCCCTTCCGAATGGTGGTGGGTATTCAATATTTCCCCACGCTGATCTGCAGATAAAATCGGCTGTTGAGTCGACCTTCGCGGCGAGGTCTAACATGTATATGCTGTCAGTGACGACTAACGGGTTAATCTCAAGGTATGTGAAGTACAGGTCAACATAAAGATTGTAAAGAGCAGCTACGAAATCTGCAACAATCCTATGGGAAAAAACGACCAATATTAGCACATCAATACTAAATTTTTGATAAAATGTTTTATTTTTACAGAAATAAAAGATTTCATGGAATATTCATGAACAAAATTACATTAGGAATAGAATTAATAAAGCAAAAATGAACATAATAATTTTACGTCAACTATAACATATTCTTTCTGATTTCAATTTTTCAAGTTTTACAGTAAACATTTTCTCTAATGCTGAGCGTTTTTTCATGATTCTAAACTGAATCCAATGATAAATTTTAGGATGTTTTTTAATACAACAATATCATTGAAAAAAAAGCAATGATAAATATTATAAATACTTCATTATTAAGGTCAATGGTAAAAATACTAAATCAAACTCCTTACTTCTGCTTGGCAGCGGGCATTTTTACAAGAAGTTTTGCTTTTATCTCATCGGCAGTAACTGAGCCTCCGATAGGTACATCGAGTTTAAGAGCTTTAGCATCAACATCTCCGATGTCGACACCTCCTTCATGATGAAAGAGAATAGTATCAGCATATCTGTGTGAATAAATGCAGACGTATGCCTCTTCTTCCTAAAAAAAAAAAAACAAATAAAATTATTCAACTGAGCAATAAATTATTACTCAATAATAAAAAGATGATTAGATATATTATTCTTATCTAAAAAAAATCATGTAGTTACAAAATATTGAAAATAGTTAACCAGCTATAAGTTGTCCAATATGAACTGGACTTGTTCAAGGGATTAGAAACCTTACCCAAAGCATAATTTTTACCATTTATTTCTTTTTTTTAAATATATATAATTTTTCATGGATAAAATCCATTAAAAGGAGTGAAGAAGAAAACTAACTAATAGAGAAAATATATTTTAATAATTGGAAAATAAATTTAATAAATTAAAAAATTTCTTTACTTAATTCGAGTAAATATTATTTGAATGTATACCAAAATGAACAAACTAAAAAAATATATTACTTGTTTGTGTGGGATGAATGGTTCAATTATGAAATTTCTCAACTTTCCTTTCGCACGTCCAACCTGAAATGAAAATGAAAAGATAATTTAATTGAACATAATAATGATTTATACAACGTAATCCGTTGAAATAATTTAAATCAAAAGTATAGAAATACACATGCTTTTAGAGTGTAAATTTCTGTGTTAAAATAAAAAAAAAGTAAAACATAAAACTATTAAAAATGAACATTGTTTTTTTTTAATGATTAGTAAATAATCATTAGCTAAAATGTGAATTAAATTCTTATTACCTCTTGATCTTTTCCCATATGTTCTGAGATCCATTTCTTGACACCAGCTAGATCTGTATTTACTTTTATCAGTCCCAGCTTCCCTCTCCTCTTTATAAGCTGATCGGGCTTAACTACCAGTTTCTGATAATGAAATAAAAAATAAGTTATTTTAAAATATCATAATATATTATCACAAAATAATATTTCTATAGACCAGAAAAATCTTCAAATTATACCTAATTTCAATTTAAAATAAACATCTTAAAGCCAGCTAAAACTTAAAATTTTATATAATTAAAAATGAATAACGGCTCTAAGTTTCTTGAAAACATATGTGTTATGTAAACCAAATGAATTTTGCATACAGCTATATTCATTATATACAAACTTAATAGTGAATAATTTAAAAATATAATTATAAACATAATTAACTGTTTTCCGCCATTAGAAATCTAAAACCTAGAGAGGTATTGAGAATTAAGGCAACACTTCTAGGGTTTAAGCTATCAATCACATTCAAAATTCAATACAAAAATAAAACAAAAGATGGGCGTATCCACTTACTTCAGTCTTGAGCCATGGGTTTTGTTGGATTAAATCCTCCCAGTTGGTTTCATCAGTGAAGGTGGCAAACCTACATTTGGCGTGTGCTAACTTGGGTGATTTCAGATGCCTGTTTATTAAGTCTTTTCCGGTAGCTTCTCTGATTGCCTTAGCAGACATGATTCACCACTGAAAAATACATAAGTTATAAAATTAAAAAAGAATAATTAAGAATAATATACTGCAAAATAAAAAATAATATTAAAATGAGAAGTAATAACTCCGATCAATGCATAGTATTATTACGATTTTATTGATTATTTTAAAACATAATTATCTTAAATAATAACATATTCTCGATGTTTCTTTGATAACTGTTAATTAAGTCTCTAAACCTACCATAAATCACAAATAAATTATACACCTATAAAACAAGGTATTTAAAAGTGTACCTATCCAAATTTATAAATATTATTTTTAAAAAATAACATAAAATAATCTGTTGATATACATTATAAATAGCAAAAAAGACTTCCTTGTTTAACAACAATTGAGTTAATGTCTGTTTTAAGTATATGTTTTAAAAATATTTGTGAGTTTGCATTTTTGTGAAAAATTGTTTCAGCAAAAATTAAAATAATTACAAACTTTTTTAATTCTTTAACGACAGGATAACAAAAATAAAAATCAAATTTTTATGGAATTAATAATAGCAGTAAGTTTAGTACAATCTTCAAAATGAACTTTTTCAAAATAAAAAAAATATTAAAAAGTAAAAGTTAAACCAGAGAGTTTAAGCTAATAAAATTATGAAAATGACAATAGGCGTGTAAAAAAATTAAACAACAAACAAATGTGTGGGAAATGCAATAAGTGATAATTATGTAAATTTGAAAATGGAAAAAATGGTTTGATATGGCTCAAGAACTTTAAAAAAAAATGGTAAAGTGTGAAGATAGAAGATTGAAACCAATATTTAAATTAACAAACCAATACTGTAATTAAGAAATATTGCATCATAAGTTAATACATGTATTGAATTTTTATTAAAAAATGTTTTACTTAAAAATTATTTAGTTAATATCATAGCTTTAATACACCTTGGTCAAAAATGTGTTAACAATCAAAATTTTCAACAAAAAAATTAACTTATGTATAAGAAATAATTTTTTTTTTATTCAATAATAATTTACTAAAAGTGGTTATATCGACTATTGAAAAAATACTCTTAAATTGATATAATATAATTAGTTCAGCAATAACAAATTAAAAGTGATGCAAATCTAATATACCATAATTTTGTTATTGAAATTTATTAGCTGATGCGAGTTTGCGATAGTTAATACTTGATAACAGTCAACCCACTTATCAGAAACAGTATTCAACAAGATTACACAATGTGGAAGATAAAGAAATAAAACAGAAACATTTTCAACTCGAAATAGAAATATTACGCAAAGATAAGACAAAAAAATATGTAGGTGTTGCAACGGCCGATAAATTTCCTTTGGAAGAAGCAATGGAGAATATAATTACGGTAAAAGGAATATTGAAAAGAGATTATAGAAATAAACAATAAATAAAATAACAACTAAAGACGGATAATATAATATGTTAAAAATCAACGCCAACTACCATTAAAGTAACGCCTAAAAGAATATTACTAACATGGGGAGGTTACGGACGTGAGGTCACGAATTTTAATTAACTATTTTTGGTGATACTAGGTCGGAAAATATTAAACCATGTCCGAGTGTTCTTTCCAATAAACCAAAGGAAACCAACCAGAAGAGTACATTTTAAAAAACTTGACCATTTTTTAAGTTGTTTTCTGCCCTTGATATGCACGAATTTCTAGTAATATCACCAATATGTTACTCTTTAAAAAAAAAAGGTTGATATTTTTAAAAATATTAAAATTTAATAAATTTTTTTGCCGAGGCACCTAGGGCGCAATGGCAAGAATCCTCGGACATGGGTCTAATATTTTTCAACCCATGATCACCAAAATAAATTTCATTGAAATCGGTGATCCCAAGTACGTGCAAGTATTGAGTTTATTAAAATCACAAAAAAATTAATTATTGTTCCTATGAAATTCTAAATCCCAATAAAATCTTCAACAATAAATAAATATTTAATTCCAAATTTTGTTACAGTAATACCACAGTATAGGTACACCTTGACAATTTTATTGTAATCGTATGCATCGTAGTATAACTCTAAAACAAAATGTAAATAAACCTGATTAAAAATTAATAAAAATAATTCTTAAAAGTATTCGTTAAATGAAAAGATAGTCAAAATACTAAGCTTTATTTATTTATTTTTATCAATCCTTAAGTACATAGTCCAAAATTAAGAAAATTTTAACGTCACATATTCAACAAATCTTTAAAAGATAACATTAAAAAAAAAAACTTTCGTAACTAAAACAGAAAATCGCTAAATCGAAAAAGAAAAAACAACACAATAAAAACCGTTTTGTGCAACCGAATGTCAAAAGTGTGGCCATGAAGGTTTATCACTGATCCTGACATCAAACGTTGCGTCAGTGGAGTGATGTAGCTTTTCGAAAACAGCTGATTTTTTTTTTTGATTTTTTTTGCTCTTAAAATGCTTCGTCTTTTTCTTTTATTAAATAGCTTGATCAAATCTCCGAAAATCCGAAACTACCTAGGGAATCGATCAGATGATATGGAGGTATGAACAACTTTCAATAAAATTATTAGTTTTAAAAGGAAATGAGATATTCCTATCACAAACATACGAATGTTAAGCTATTCCGACAATACGCTACGTCAAGGTCATAAGTGAATAAGAAATGTGCATTATTTCAATACAAGGATTACATGAGAATCGAGAATTATGAATTTTGAAACAATGGGTAATAATCTTCAATGGAAACAGTTTTAAAAATAGAATAAATCTTTTCTTATGCTCGTGAGTGCAAGAAAATGCATTAAAATTATAAAGTCAAATGGTATTATATCATTGCAGAAATTTAATTGTTTTCATTAAAAGCGAGTGAGCTTCGGTGTTTGACATTGGTTGATTATTTTTAAGTATCAGTCGTGGATCGACTTCATGTTAGGGGGACTCTTCTGTGACACACTCAGCCTTGTTAAGATAGCTGAGGCGGTTGACCACACAACCTCAGAAAATAATCGATGGTGAAGAAACAGGATTTCCTAACCAAGTATTGACCCTTAGATTCTTCATCGGTTATAGCTGTAAAGATTTTTTTTTCCATAAACTTAAAAATAAATAGCTACAAAACCAAAATTTCTTAGAAAATGCTTACATTCGGATACAAAATATGCTTTCTGTCTATTAACAAAATATATTATTCCAATGTTTTAGTAAACATAACTTCGCTCTTGGAGCATTCAGAATCAGTAAGCGCGGTAACTTAATACTTTTCGCACCCCAACTCAAGTAATTTTGAATCCTCGTGTAAAGTCTTGAAGATAGCTACATTTTAGTATCAAATTTTCGGGAGAACAGTTTCATAGTTCTTGCTGATAATTCCGACTACATCTTACTTAAAACCCAACAATTTTCTACAATTATAATAGTTATGTGGAAGATCATATTGTTTTTAAACAATTAAAAAAAACATTCCAATGAGAAAATTTATCTTAAATGATATCTGCATGTTTTTTTTTTTTTTTTTGGTTCTTGTCCATAAGTAAATTGTTAATTTTTTGTTGTTTTCCGTTTATTACTCCTGCATGTTTTTTTATGCAAACAACCAAGCGTTGAGAGTTTTAACAATTTTTTAAAAAATTTTTATTCGCTTGATAAGTGGGCATAGGCGTCGACTTATGAAAATTATTGGGGGGGGGGAGGCTGCTGGAGGAATGGGGGTCCCATCATGCTTGTGTCACTGACCAAAATAGGGCACAACAAATTCTTCTATATCTACTAGTAGATAGATGGAGTTGTATATAATGGAATTGTAATTTACAAGCCTAATATGTTTATTTGTTTATTTTTTTTATTTATGAGTTTCCACTAATAGTGGGTTTCCTTAACCTAAAGTTGGATGACTTCTTTTCATAATGTCCTATCTAAGGTCCATTATTCCCATAGACTATGACCCATCATGGATTCCTCCACTTCGTTATTCCAGATGTTCCTCTTCTTCTGTCTCTAGTTATTCATAAGTGAACTTATTTGGGTAGTCTTCCTTCAGGTATTCTTTTCAAATGCCCATACCACTTCAGGCGTTTTATCTCAATCTCTTCCAGAATGGTTCTTTTAGCCTCCATATTTTCTCTGATGGTAGTTTTGCTCACTTTATCCATTCTGGATATTCCGCTCGTCTCCAGTAGTCTATTTCGGTGACTAGAAGTTTCTTCCTGAGATTGCTATTTATGGTCCAAGTTTCTGACCCATATGCCAATAAAGTTCAGTACCATACTATTGTAATTTTTTTTTTTGGGGGGGAGGATAAAGTTCCGGTCCATAATACCGAGTTGAGCATCGATATGGTCTTTTTGCCATCTGAATATTTTCTTTTTATTTCCACATCGCATGCACCAATCATGGAATTTTATTTCAATCATGGAACCAAGATATTTAAAATGTTTAATTCTTTTTAGAACCCCTCCTGGATTCAGTTCTATATCCTCATTATTGAATGTCATGTATTTAAATTGTACCAGCATCCTATGCAATGATGACCTGCTCATCTGCGAAGGATAGGTTATAAAGGAACACCTTTTCTTTCAACTGAATTCCCATGGGTTCACATTTTATTCCCGAATTGTAATTTACAAGACAAATATGTATATGAAGTTCATATTATAGCAATTTGTTGAGGGAGCTGAACCCCCACAACTGTAACATTGGGAGAGGCTCAAGCCCCTTGTAGTCGCCGCAAAATATAAGTAGATAATGTGCCTACGAACGGGCAATATTTGCGCATTCATTTCATGATTAGTCTCATTTAGATTGGAAAACTCATGAGAATCCGAATACAATAGTTGTTTTCTGGCATCTAATACTAGAGAATAGAATTAATTAGAAAAAAAAATTAATTCTAATTAGTTGGATAATCTATTCATTTATACTTCTCCTACCTCTGCGAGGTAATGATCTCAGGATTTTATATACGACAGATCCATTGCATATTCTACCACGATACCTCAATAAATCGTAATGGGCATTCTTTATACAGCTTA